ATTTCCCTATATAAACTATAGTAAAGTTTACCCCCTCCCCAGGGGGAAACGTGAGACCCCAGGGTCAAGAAATTCACAATTTCGGTAAAGCACCTTAAGACCCTTCCATCTATGAAGAGTATTTGATTCTACCATATCTGGGTCTTGAGAAGAAGATTTTTGAAATTTTAGTCAATTTGACCCTTTTTGGCCCCGCCCCTCAGGCCCCGGGGGGGCTTAGGACTAAACCGGCAACTGTTTTTGTTGACCTTTGTCCATGGAAGGTCCCTGCAAAATTTCATTGAAATTGGTTCAAAGGTTCTTGAGAAGAAGATTTTTGAAATTTTAGTCAATTTGACCCTTTTTTCGCCCCGCCCCTCAGGCCCCTGGGGGCTTAGGACTAAACCGGCAACTATTTTTGTTGACCTTTGTCCAAGTAAGGTCCCTGCAAAATTTCATTGAAATTGGTTCAGGGGTTTTGGAGAAGAAGTCGAAATGGTAAATTGTTTACGGACGCACGACGGACGACGACGGACAAAAGGCGATCGCAATAGGTCACTTGAGACTTTGTCTCAGGTGACCTAAAAAGTGGATCTGGAACCCTAAGATTTTTGAAAATGGACTAAACTTTGTAATGAATTTGTAAAAATTAATTTCTTGCTGTTATAGGGGTCATTTAGTTCAAAAATAAATAACAGTATTCAAACAAGAGGCCCAATGGGCCTGCATCGCTCACCTGGTATAGAACTCACACTTGTAACCTTAAAAGTGATCTAAAATAAAGCTACAGGCAAAATATCAGTATTTATGATTAAAATTCGTTCAAAAGACCCGGTCATTTTTTTTTTAAACATTTCACCCCTGTGATTGAAAGTCGAACAAAGTCATTATGTTGAACACATTATATAGGCTTTCATCTCAGGATGCAACTTGCAAAGTATAAACATCCTGGGACCCATGGTTATTCATAAGAGGTTGTTTAAAGATTTTAAACAAATTTGACCCCTGTGACCTTGAATATAAGTCAAAGTCATTCACTTTAACAAACATAGTAGTCCTTGATCCCAGCATATGCTACTAACTAAATATCAACATCCTGAGCCTTTTGGTTATTCAGAACAAGTTGTTGAAATATTTTAAACATATTTGCTCCTTGTGACCTTGAATATGATTCAAGGTCATACATTTAAACAAACTTGGTAGCCCTTGATCCTAGTATGCTACTGACTAAATATCATCACCCAGGGCATTTTGGTTATTCAGAAGAAGTTGTTTAAAGTTTTTAACATATTTGACCCCTGTGACCTTGAAAATGGGTGAAGGTCATTCATTTGAACAAACTTCGTAGCTCTTCATCTCAGCATGCTACTAGCCAAATATCATCACCCAGGGCATTTTGGTTATTCAGAAGAAGTTATTTAAAGGTTTTTTAAGACAATTGACCCCTGTGACCTTGAATATAATTGAAGGTCATTCATTTGAACAAACTTGGTAGCCCTTCACCCTAGCATGCTACTGACCAAATATCATCTCCCTGGGCAGCTTGGTTATTGAGAAGAAGTTGTTTAAAGTTTTCAACATATTTGACCCCTGTGACCTTGAAAATAGATGAAGGTCATTTATTTGAACAAACTTGGTAGCCCTTCATCCCAGTTTGCTGCTAGCCAAATATCATCACCCTAGGCCTTTCGGTTATTAAGAAGAAGTCGTTTAAAGTAAAATATTGACGCCGGACGACGGACGCCGCACCATGGCATAAGCTCACTTGGCACTTCGTGCCAGGTGAGCTAAAAAGGATTAACCAACCAAGATGATATAAAAATTCTTTAATTACATGACAGAATTAGATTTTTTAATACAACATTACTGCTACCACATTACAGTGATTTGTTTTACTGCCAAATACAGCTAGGCTGTTTCCCCGAGTGAAAAAGTGCCTTAATTTCCCAAAATGACCATGCAAAAACTGGGGAATATATTCCCAATTTCAATACAAATAATGGTATATTTTCCCCAATTCATAAAGGAACAGGCTGTTGTAAAATTTAAGTTACTAAAACACTGCATTATTATTGAACATTAAAAACTCAAGTCTGAGTCAGGCAACATAGTTAGTACATTTTAGGAAAACTATAGACCTGGTTGGCTGACAGTGAGCTAGGTCTATATAGCTATCATGGTGTGTAAAACATATATATCATGCCAATGTACGGACATCTAAACAAACTCTTGATACATGTCTTGGGGCAAACCTGGGAAAAAGAATCGCTTGTCTAGCTGCATTACATTAATTTCCATACATGTACATGTATGTGAAACACAAATTAATTCCTGAAGACACATTATATAATTAGAACTCTTCCAATTCAAATGATGGAATAGTTCATTATGAAATTTCAGGGGTGAATGAGTTAACAACAGTTGGAAAGTTATCTTTATAGGAAGTGACTGTAAATAAATGCCATTTAAAAAAAAAAAACATTGTGGACATTGCTGACAAAGAAAAACACCAAGACAGGTGAAATAGCTCATTTTTTGTCTAGTCATTTAAACAAACAACCCAGCTTTGTGACTCTGTGTACAATTTGTTTCATTCATGAATAGCTTCGTATAGATCTAAGCTATATGACCTGGTTTCAAACACAGCCATTCTATTTATACATAATACATGTTTTAAACAAGAGTTCCATGAAGGGGTACATGATACGCCTATCAGATGTCAAATGAGCAGTTTGCCACAAAGGGCCATACCTGCATACATTTTGGAAAGATAAGCGTAAATTCTACAAAGGGCCATAACTGCATAAATAGCCGGCAAATAATTTTGGTTATCGAACTTGTCCAAGCTTTCATGGCAATGAACCTTCCTACCATGTTTGAAATTAATCCACTCAAAATTACTCAAGTTATTGAGCAGAAACTGTTTCGGCAATTCTACAAAGGGCCATAACTCTGTAAACAACCGGCAAATAATTTTGGTTTTCGCAAGCTTTCATAGAAATGAACCTTCCTATAAAGTTTGAAATGAATCTATTCAAAATGACTTAAGTTATTGAGCGGAAACTGTTACGTCAATTCTATAAAGGGCCATAACTCCCTTAATAACAGGCGGATAATGGTTATCGAACTTGTGCAAGTTTTCATAGAAATGAACCTTCCTACGAAGTTTGAAATGAATCTATTCAAAATTACTGAAGCTATTGAGCGGAAACTGTTTCGGCAATTCTACAAAGGGCCATAACTGTGTAAATAACTGGTAAATAATATTGGTTATCGAACTTGTCCAAGCTTTCATAGCAATAAACCATCCTATGATCCAACTTGTCCAAGCTTTCATAGCAATAAACCATCCTATGAAGTTTGAAATGAATCCATTCAAAATTACTGAAGCTATATATTGAGCGGAAACTGTTTTGACAATTCTACGAAGGCTGGGGCCATAACTGCATAAATAAGCAGCAAATAATTTTGGTTATCGAACTTGTCCGAGCTTTAATGGCAATGAACCTTCCTATGAAATTTGAAATTAATCCATTCAAAATTTATTGAGCGGAAATTGTTTCGGCAATTCTGCAGAGGGCCATAACTCTGTAAGTGACTGGCAAATAATTTTGCTTATCGAAATTGTCCAAGCTTTCATAGCAATGAACCTTCCTATAAAGTTTGAAATGATTTTTATACAAAATTGAGGCCCCTTTGCCCAAGATCTAGAATTGCCTCTTCACAAAATTTGGTTAAAATCCCTTCAAATAAACTGAAGGAGAAGGATTTTAAATGATCTGTTAAAACAAATTGAGTCCCCCTTTGCCAAATGATTTCTCCGTGCAAAATTCGGTAACAGTAAATCATACTGAACAAAAAGGAGTTTAAAGATTTACATAAATTTCCCCTCAATCGGGTCCCGCACCTCGGGCAACACCCTCCATTTATACAAAATTTAGTCCCTTTACCAATGGATGCTCTAGACCAAATTTAATAAACTCATTCACCCCTGAAGACACAGTTGAAGTCTTCCAATTCAAATGTTGGAATAGTTCATTATGAAATTTCAGGGGTGAATGAGTTAAAATAATTATGGTACAGTAGAAAGATTTTAAAAATCTAACTTAAATTGATTCCCCTACTCCCTACCACTCTGCGCCCAGAGGGTCCACACCCTCGTTTATACAAAATTTAGTCCCCTTTGCCCAAGGATGCTCCAGAGTAAATTTGGATAAATCCTTCCAATGGTACAGAGGAAGAAGGCTTAGGAAGACTTAAACTGCAAATTCCCTTATTGGGCCTCGCTCCTCTGCTGATCAAGACTAGTAGCGATTTAAAGGAAAAGTTGACCAATGGATACTAAGAATTCATACACATTGTATATGATCCACACAGATCATTTAAAGAAAAGATATAACAACCCCCCCTCCCCCCTGCCCCCC